GCAATCCGTAGAGTCTCGGGCGAAAGGAAAATGACAGTGGAGCTGGAGGGACCGTGAAAAGTTTTGGGCTTTTTTGCTCCTTTCCATGTGCACAACGCACATCTCGCTGATGCATCTGAATTGACGCACGGAAGGATCGAAGATGCCAGGTTGCTATAATCTGAAGGGTATCAGATCATGCCTACTCGGGGCTGATCTAATTAGTATTTTACATAGTAGGTCGAATCTGGGGCAGAACGCGGTCAATGTTCCTGATAATTACGGCGTGCCCATCACCCGGCGGGTGTGAGGGCTCGAACCGGGGAGCCGGCTCGTTACCGCCGCCCATTACTCGGAGCATGGCCCACATGGCCACTAGTGGGAGGGGCGTATGAGCGGCCCGCTCAAGGTCAGGCCGCGGTCACGTGACCGGCCGCGGCCGGCGGCGGTGCGCGAGCGGCGGCCGCCTGGCCGGGGTCCAACTGTGACGCGGTGACGCGGCATCCTCCGACCTCCGCCCCACAGGACGCTGCCGCCCCCATTTCACGCGCCCCCGGCAGAACGCACCGAGTGGGCGGCGCCGCGCCGGGGCCGGAGGGAGGGGCGCCGAACGGGACCGGAGGGGAGGGGAGGGGCGCAGACCGGGACCTCAGACAGGAGTGGGCGGAGCCCCGCGACGGCTCTTCAAAAACAGTCGCTGTCAGACCATCGAAATGTCAAAGGTCAAAGAAGCTTCCAGGGCAGTCGGAACACAGGACGTAAAGCCAAAGTTGGGGCGTTTGCTAGAGACGTTCGCCATTCGGCCAACAAATGAGCAAAGATGACACCGGTGAGTCATCGCAATAAAATCGAAGATCCCAGATAAAGATCCCCGATTCAACCTCTTAGATCCATGCATGTCTAGCCGGAACCACCCGTGAGTCATCGCAATGAAACTCGGAAAATGTTTCAAATTTAGAGCGGAAAGGTTCTTTTGCATCGGCAACTGATACCGTGGTCACTGGCCATGCCAGATTAGCAGTCCAAAGTTGCGTCCACAGATCATCAATTATTCGCGAACAGACAATTTCGCAGGATAGCATTTCGAGCTTCCAAGATAACGTTTGCGAGCTGACAAACTAACATGACGTTAACAAGAGTGGCAATGTAGGTATGCTCCAAACTCCAAAGCCTACAATAAACTATAAAGCATGGAAAACTTGATCGCCATTGCAGCTCAGTTAGTTCTAGACAAATTTTCTAAAGCGCTTTTTCATACCACCTCAACACCAGACTCATGTCACGCTGAATTTCTCTTTCAGACAAATTCAGTATGCTTTTTGGACTGAGACTATTTCAGTCAAGTTCTCTTACCCATAGTTTTCACAATGAAGGGTAACAGAAACCCCGAAGCCCTTCCCATTCTAGACACCCAGTGGCCAGTGCTGCTAGTTTTCCACGAAGTCTCATTCAAAAGCCTCAAAATTGAGCCATCAGCTACCTTTTGAGCACAGTTCTAGTATGGGATATTATGACCATGTATTTTGCAGCTTCTCGATAAATCACACACAGTTGCAACCGGCTATCAGCTATCCATGGTAACTTTTGACCACCTGACAAGTTGAATATGTATATGCATGACAAAATTCCCCCGGAGAATCCTTTCGTCAATGCCTCGCATTTGTATTTAGCCGATCGTAGCGCTGGTAAACTACATTCTGGCAAAATGATCCGTCCAAGATCAGCTCTCGTTTGACAGGGGTTAGGAGAGGGGAGGGAGATGGCCCTTGAGCTACCACGAGTATGACACACGACTCGGGCAGTGTTGTGTTCTCCGACTCTGGAAATATCCGGTGAGAGTCGTACGGAGCTGGGTGCCCCTCGTTCCCGTTCACCCCGCGCTCAGCGGTTCCACTGCCCCGCCCCCTCGGCCGGCGGACGCGTGGTGCGGATACACGCCGGGCCGGCGGGCTCTGCCCCAGTCGGGCCACTCACCGGGGTTTTTGCCGATGATGCTGCCAGTGTTGGTGTTCCACCTCGGCTCCTTGTAGCTGATGGTCTGCAGGAAGATGAAGAGGCATAACGACCAGAAAGCCGCCAGGCACGAGTAGAATATAATATAGAATACGGTGATTTTAACTGAAACGAGGAACAGAAACACCGGTTAGTCGTCGGCATTGCTTCACTGCACACATATATCTCACCGTTCCTGACTCAGGAGCGCGGGAACTACTTTCAGACTGGGGGGGGGGGGGGGCACACCATCATAGAGATCAACCTAGGGTACCCCCAAATCTAGTTTTCTCACCGGTTTTAGGCCACTTCTTTTTCATCCCTTGGCTTTTTCAACAACAAAAAAAAAACATTTGCAAAAAAGTGGGTATTCCGTCTCAAAGTTGTGGGGGCACCGCCCTCACGGCTCCAGAGTTGGGGGGGGGGGGGGTAAGCTGCCCCCACTGCCCCCCCCCCCGGTTCCCGCGCCTATAGTTCCTGTACAGTACACTTTTTCAGAAGGCGCCTATTTCGCTATTCGGCATAAGCTTTACATAGGACTTGAAATCACATGAAAGCTCTTGATGTTATGATTAATGCTAAACAATAAACACCATGAATGCTTCTAAGCTGGTGGGCGTGGCTTCACACTTGACTGAACGTCAGAGGATGCTTGAATGCCTGGCCAACGCGGATACTCTCAAACAAGGCGTAACGAATTAAGCTGCTATCCTTGCAAAAAGACCCTCGAACACCAAATAGACGTGTTTTGGGTAGTTTTATTTTCAAATATTACATTACGCTCCCGGTGAACGCTGTGCCTGTATGTATAGTTTCCAACCCTCCATCTAGCCGGTTGATGCTCGGCTCTGACACCGCGCCCACGGTCGGGCCCACAGCCTTTCGCTTCAGCCGGGGGGTCGTTCGCACGAAGTCTGAAAGTATTGAGCCGGGGAAAATCGAGCCCGCCAATCCGGCACCGTGATCCGTTCCATTCTCCACGGCTCAAGTGAGCTTGAACTTTTCGAAATGGATAAAAATGGCAGTGGTTAATCGTAAAAGCTACTAAAATGAATACATTTTCACCAAATTCAGTCATCACTACGTTGTCACTACACGAGGAAACCGATCCTACCACTGATTTTTAATTTAAACGGTACAGGTACCCAATTATAGGGAACAGGGAATATTAGTGGCACTAGATTCCCGAATTGTCAAAAAGTTCCTTCTGATTGAGGCAGTTCCATTATTGGGGCGTAAATTGACCTTAACATAAATTTCAGGTCACGATCAGGGCCTGTCCTGAGTCCTCATTTCAAGTGCAAGGGACCAGCATGCAACGGGTCGGGAAGTTCCTCATCGAGCGATGGTGGCGGGGTCGGGTATTCGGCCCTCGAGAAATGCATCAAACTGCTTCAAATACTTTATCACTGACTCTGGGGTTCCGCTTAGAACTACGGCAACTGTCTGGTTGCGCCTCACAGATGACTTTATGGTGAGCCTTCGGTTTTTGCAGATCGCAGCCCTCAGGGCTCGGCCAAACCCCTGGGCCAGGCTGAGACAAGCGGTCGGAACATATGTAACATGAAGCTGCTGAGCTTGCATAAGTGCTGCTGCAGCTCAACGCAAAGCCAAAACATTAGGCGAGCCCATGTTGATCTATTAGTTATTACCGCCGCTAGCGAATGCTTCCACCCCTGCGGATCAGGTGATGGCACCCTTACAGTCTATCCACTTCGACACATTTTATGAAATAAAAATAAGGCTGGGTGGTGAAACGATCTATTCGAGCTGGGATTACTAGGAATCCGATGCTTGGCACCCTCAGGCACCCTCAATTTACGCAGCCAACCGGTCCGTACGCTCATCGGAGGCGGGGTCGACGAAGGGCAAGTTTGATACGGATTTCAGGTAGGAAACTGGATGTTACATGAAATATTTTGCACGGACAAATGCCAAAGATGATATTAATGACTTTCCGCGTAGTTATAAGCCTGATCCGGCGCTCGCCGTGGCTCAATGGGGCTATGTGACCACAAAACCATGGGTCGATATCGGGTACTTACACCAACTAAGGCCGGTACGGCCCAGAACCGTCTTCTCCTCTCGGTTCCATAGAAATTCCGCGAAGCTAGCTTTCTGTGGTGCAGGCATTATCGTCCGATATAGGTCAACACTGTCTTACACTCTTGAACATATAATTCACTCTTAAAAAACACCCGTTCCCGCACACACTCACACTCCCCCACGGCCCCGAGACGACAGCGCCACTCTCCCGGCCGGCGAAAATGTCAACCACCGGGCCATCGACGCAGTGGAAAATTTCGTCTGCTAGACAAGTACCAGTACTTGTAGGTTTGTGCTGTAGAATCGATGTGAATTGCATTTTATTTGATCAAGTACTGTGACAAAAACATTGTTTATATTATTTGAAAAGTAACTTGCATTCTGTGACTCCAATACTATAAAAGTTTCTTTGATATTACTGTACTTGTTTCCACTGATTGAATATTTCGTTCCATCTCTAGAAATACATCGCTGCTGTTTTTATTATAAGATCAGATCCATCGATAAAAACAATCGTGTTGAAAGTTGTTTTTGGGTATGGATAATGTACATGTGCTCTAACGAAAAAATGTTCGTATTTCAGCATTTTGATGCTTCTCTCCTAAGTGCTTTCGTTTCTGTTTTCAGCGCCTCCGCCCAAAATTTTGCAGCATTTTAGTTACAAGCATTCTTTTGTCGCTCATGCGTTACTTTCCCTCCTTTCTACAGTCTACATGTAAACATTTGTGTTTTGTCATTTTATTTTGGCGACTGGAGGCAAGTGGTGGTGGGCAAGTGGTAGGTAGTAATTGTATATTTATTTTATGGTGCATCCCTTGGACATGTCAATTAAATGATTTAGTTAAGCTTTTCGAAGTGATTTGAGGTACGCTAGTTGTGATGTTTGCTGCAAGTGAGCATTGGCCTTGAGATTGATGCAACATTAAAAGTGAGGGGACTCTGATGCCAAATGTTCTGTTTCTTATTTTCCTTTTTCATTTCAGATTTCAACATGGCTGAGCTACCCAAGTGGAGAGAGAAGATAGTAGATGCATTGCGGGAGAGAGACATGCGTCAGGTGGAATGCTTCCGAGGACTAATAAATGATTGTAAGCAGGAATACATTCTATTGGTAAATTATTTCTACATTAGTCAATTAGGTACCTGTCTAACCAAGCAAAAAAGTTGTTTTTTAGCTTTTTGCTGAGTCTTTCATGCCTAAACATCTTTCAATAACTTTGAATGGCCTAATGACAGACTTGGGCTTTGGCATTCAGTGTAGGTATATTGATATTCTGATTCCCATTTCTAGGCTCTCGACTCTAGCCACCTTAGGTAATGAAACTATATTCCTTTTCTAATGTAAATCTCAAAAGTTGTATGCACAAGTCTGCATTGGTTTCCGCACAAATGCTGAACCCTGAGGATGCCAAATCCAAGGAGTTAATAATATAAAGTATTTTTTAGGGAGGTTGCCCCCTGCATCAGATCACACCATGTTTTTGAATCCTTTTATGGTTCAGGCCATGCAACAGCACACAATGAAGCATATGCAAATAGATGTTATGCTTGGAAATTTCTGTGCTAACCCTAGACTGCATCAAGTATGTATGCAACCGAAGATAAGTACATTTGAAAAACAAATAGATAGCAAATGCATTGTCATAGATACATGCCCCCAGCTCAGCTCTCTGACCACAGCGTGTTTGTGTGCTGGCAGACAACCGTCTGTTTGAGGGTGCGGACAGCCTGCGTCAGAACATCAACAGGACGCTGTTCCAGGAGCGGGCCGTCGGTGGCCACCAGATCAGTGGAGACGCAGGGCCCGCTCTGGCCGCCGCCACCGAGAAGATACAGGTGAGGTGACTGCAGGGGTGACTGGACTTGGCTGCACCGTACCTTTGGAATGGTCTGCGATGGCAAGTCATGTGAAATGTGAGGATTGGCTTGCTGATGTACATACATACATACATACATAAAGGTTTATTTGACCACGTGACAGTCAACGACTGGTAAAAAGGCCGTAATCAAGCAAGTCCAGAAAAGAGCTTGCAAAATCATGATAGGATACAAAAACTACACCGACTACGCCTCTGCCTGCCAGCTCCTCAGCCTCGAGACGCTGAGTGAGCGTAGCGATGCTGCCCTCTGCAAGCTGGCGGCCGACATCCTCGCCAACCCCGCCCACCCACTGTACCCGGGCGAGCAGCTGGCAAATGTGAGGCGCCCTCTGCGCCGGCAGCGAAAGTTTGTCGTACCACGGGCCAAAACTGAGCGGTATAAAAAGTCCACTCTGCCTGTACTCATAGATCTAATGAACAGGATGTGATCCCCACGTAGATATGCTCGGAGCTCTTTTTAAATGCACTGTGTTTTTAATTTTTGTGATGCTTCTCACTTCTTCATGTCGTGCCACCATTGCACAGGAGCTCATGTGTCACTTGCTAAGTTGATGCTAAGGGCATTTGTGGTGAGATCAGGGAATTAGGTGTACTTGATAGGGTTAATAGGTCAAGTTTGGTGTTGCTGAACATTGCCCATCTTGCTGACACTGACTCTAACTGACTGTGGCTGATTCCGCAAAATATGCTGTGCCATATCGTTGCTGAGTCATGTTCCTTCTGCTAGAGTAGAACATGAGGCTGCATTATCGGGAACTCGGTGATTTTAGCAATTCCAATAATCCATTTTCCGGTCGGCCAATGCGATTGCGTAGTTGAATATAATTGGATGGATTTTCAGAGCTACATTTTTCTCAATCAATTTTAGGCACAAATGTATTGGTTTGTTAAGCTTAACCTTTGCTTCTTAGAGTGATTGCGATTTTACTGCCATTCATCTATTCACCAGTAATACGCCTTTTGGGCGAAGAACGAGCGAGTCATTACCACATGCAGGGAATCATTCACACATTCATTCATCCACCGACAAACTAATTTAATCATTCACACATTTGTTCATTCATTCGCTTTTCCATGCCGTAATTCATTTATTTATTTGTCCACTCAAAAAGCTCAGTGGGCTGAGTCTCCAACTCGGTGAGTCGACCCGTTATTGCCTCCAAGCCGGGCCGCTCCAGCGCCTTCTGTTCGGCCCAAACCGCCGTGTACGCTGTGGTGTAAGCTACTAACTGCGCTGCTACTGTAGCAGTGATTCCGCTGTCTTTTTACGTTTTTCTTGATAAGTCATAGCCACTGAGCTGTGTTACCGCCACTGTCTGTAATTATCTGCAGTCTGCACCCTCTGTGTGTGATAGGTACTGGAGCAGAAACAGGTGCACATGCTGGAGGAGCTGACCAGTCTCCACCGGAGGCGGGGCGAGAACGCACAGATGATCGTCGACCTGAACAGCGACCTGGCCAAACTGCGGCAGCAGCTGGCCGCCACTGATCAGCTGTCAGTCTGAGCGGGGCGGGGGGGGGGGGGGCAGATCCGCTGGGATGCAGGGATACCATACGGCTGGTCATACATTTGGTCGGTGACTTGCTACCGCATGGGGTCTAAATGCGTAACATGATTTCATGCTTATAATATCGTCGTTGCTCTGGGCGCGACAAAGCTGGTCTTATTTCCGCGTTACATTGCGTATCATGTGAGTAGTAAACACATGATTTACGCTCTCTCCCTCGTCTCTGTCCGCCAGTCTGGCTGAGTCGACGGCCGACTGTGAGGCGCTCAAGGAGCGGATCGCCTCCCTGGAGCAGACCAACTCCGAGCTGAACGCCACCAACCAGACGCTGAAGGACGAGTACAACGCGCTCCACCTCATCTACATGCAGATGGAGAAAAACTTCAAAGAGGCCCAGGTTAGTCACGCCGGTCAGAAATGGTGAATTGAGACTCTTGCTGTGTGCTGATTATGGATAGTTGTGTTTGCCGTAGTGTGCACAGTTGCTGCTCTTATTGGTGTTATTGAATGAACTTTATCGTGACTTATTTTGTGTATTTTTGTTTTAATGTTTCCTTACATTAAAACAAAAGTATTAAGTATTAGGTTCAGGTGACTTGCAGGCTTTTGAATCGGCCGTCAGCGATAACTTGCGCAGCATTGTTATACCGGACGACTTGCTTACTTGCGAGGGCTGCGCATCGCTTGACCATACTAATGTTATTGAAACTTATTACGACCAAATAGTTACTTGCATTAGGAACGCATCGGAGAAAACCATAGGTAGGAAGGTGGGAGGTATATCACGGAAGGTTGTTCCCGGCTGGAATGAATTGGTTGAAGACAAGCACATTCTTCTCAATGATTTATACGCGTTATGGTCATTCGTGGGTAAGCCTAAATGTGGATATATTTTTGATCAGCTTCGACTGGCTCGGTCACGTTTTAAATATGCCTTACGATTTTGCCTGCGTAATGAGAAAGAGCTTCGTGCCAAATCTTTAGCAGACAAGCTCGTGCGGGCTCCTTGTAGCATGGCTGTGTTTTGGAAGGAAGTAAGGAGACTGAACTGTAGTCCTCCTCTAGCTCCCTCGATTAATGGTGTTACGGGCGAGTCGAATATTGCCGATATGTGGAAAGAACATTTCTCTGGAACATTGAACAGTGTTGACAATCCTAGTTGTAAGGTGTCTGTATTGCATAAGCTTTCATTAGATGACTGTGAATTGCTTCCTTTTTCAGTATGTGAAGTGACTAAAGCCATTAAGGAGTTGTCCTCAGGCCGTTCAGGCGGCAATGATCATCTTTGTGCTGAACATTTCAAATATGCTGGTAATTTATGTGCTGTGCATTTGTCCCTGTGTCTCACGCTGATGGTTAGACATGAGTTTTTGCCTCCTTCGTTAACTAAGGTTGTTTTGGTACCCATTGTGAAGGATAAAAATGGAAAACTAACTGAGAAAAACAACTACAGACCGATTGCAATTGCCAGTGTATGTTCTAAGATTTTGGAGAGAATTATTCTCAACCGCTCTTCTGTACAACTTAGTACTGGTCACCACCAATTTGGATTCAAGGAGCGTCACTCAACTGATATGGCGATATATGCTCTAAAGGAGATCACAGATTATTATTTGCGCAATGATAGTCCGGTGTTCATTTGCTATTTGGATGCTAGTAAAGCATTTGACCGTGTTAATCATTGGAAATTGTTGGATAAGTTGCTGTGTAGAGGTATGAACTCCCGACTGGTAAAACTTATAGCGTTCTGGTATAAGTCTCAACGTTTTCATGTACGATGGGGAAGTTCTGTATCGGCGGGTTTCAATGTGTCAAATGGTGTCAGACAAGGTGGTATTTTGTCTCCATTTTTGTTCAATGTATATACTGATGACCTCTCCGATATGCTTAATCGATGTGGTTATGGGTGTCATTATCTTGGTAGCGTAAATCATCTGTATTATGCAGACGATATGGTCTTACTTTCTCCGACTCCCTTTGGCCTGCAGCAAATGCTGCACATATGTGAGAGGTATGCAAAAGACCATGATATTTTGTTTAACTCCACTAAGACAGTCTGTATGGCCATGCTTCCAAAGAGATTCGGTGGTATGCATGTACCTACGATATTGCTCTGTGGACATATGCTGAGTTTTGTTAGTACGTATAAATATCTTGGGTATCAAGTGTCTAATGATTTCTCCAGAGCAGATGATCTAGAAATCCGCCAGCAATATCGAGCATTGTGCTGTAGAGCCAACTCGCTCATCCGCAAATTTGCGATGTGCACGCACAGTGTGAAGAAGTGTCTTTACAATGCTTACTGCTCAAATGTCAGCTATGTACACTTGTGGCATTCTTATCACTTGTCTGATCTGAGAAAGTTCAAGGTCTGTTTTAACAACGCCGCTAGGATGTTTTTCGGCTACGAACGGTTCTGTAGTGCTTCTGATATGTTTGCTCAAGAGCATATAGATGGTTATGATGCACTGTATCGCAAAGCTGTATATAACTTTATGTCACGCTTATCCATGTCTGAAAATCGTATAATATCTGCATTGTACAACAATGACCTAAAATGCTCTTCATCTATTAGGAGGGTGTGGTCTCGAGCGTTATATGGATGGTAGACGCTACCATGGACCGGGGTGACTGTTGAACACCCCTTTTGTTATGGACTTCGTGTCTGTTAATAAAGTGATCTCTCTCTCTCTCTCTCTCTCTCTTACAGACAGAGCGTGACAGTCTGTTGGCGAGATGTTTAGAAATCAAGTCAAATGTTGCTGAGAAGATGAACCAGGAAAATGAAGAATTTGTCAGGTGAGTTATGAAAAGAAATAGGTTCCCCTACTCGCAATTTGCTCAAAAATTGCTTTCGCATCATTTCCCCATTTTAACCCGCGCCCTAGTGGCGGTCTCAGCCAACTTCGCCCTAGTGGGGGGGGGGGGGGGCATGTGTTACCACCCACCTCTAACTCAAAAACTAAGAGGGCTAGAAAGACGCGGTAAAAAGCAGTCGATAGCTCTCAATGCGTACGTTTGAAAGTATTTCGGTCATTTTTCTTCTTGGAGCAATATTGGGGTCACTGGAGGTCATCAAAGGTCAAAATTTCCCAAATGTCATTATATTTTTCAGAAAACATGCTTTTATCTCAGGAACTATGATAGCTAGAAAAACGCATGGAAAAGCAATCGATAGCTTTTGAACTCTTCTTTCGATAAGGTCATCATCAAAATTGACCTCAGGTCAACGGTTTAGCCTGCAGAGGGCAAAAACTTCAAAAATAGCTGTTTTTTCGCAAAGTGTTTTTCGACAATAACTTTTGACTACAAAGAGCCACAACATTTCTATTCCCAGAATCGTGTTTCTCTCGACGAGACGCGTCGAATGAACTATAATTTGACCTTGAAAGGTCAACTTGAAAATTTGACCTCAGGTCAAGGTCATGACCTGACCGGAAAAGGTCATGTTGCATATCATTCGATGCGTCTCAACAATACAAACACAATGAAACCATCCCCAGCGTTCTATCTCTTTCCAATCGCGAGTTATTGGCAAAAATCTGTTTGTAGCCTCAAATGACCTCGGATGACCTTTCTAGAGGCTATCAGCAAAAATGACACCTTGGTCATCACGGGTGGTCCAAATCATTGTGATTCTGAAATATTTGGACTGTTTCTATGCGTACACACGGATCTAGAGGTATTTTCATTTTTCTCCATTGACTTATAATGGTAAGGTCACGGCACTGACCTGACCTTAGGTCACGGATATAAAAAATCCGAGATATACAAATTGTAGGGGCTCATAACATCATGCAATCGACCAAGTTTGAAACCTTTCTGACATACACTGCAGGCTGGACATGATTGCAAACTTTTTTTTAGGTTTGGTCAGTTAACTTGACCTGGTGACCTGACCTGACATGACCTGGGGTCGAAAATTTCACACATTGTCCAAAATTGATGTACAAAAAGCTATGCCAAGCGGCGCGGCGCTACGCGCCGCGGTTTTTTATTTATACGCAAAAAACGCGACAGGGTGGTAACATATGCCCCCCCCCCCCACTGGGCCGAAGGTTAATACGCGATGAGTGAGTTCAATAAGTGGGCACTTATTTTTTTATTTCGATATTTTACAAAATTTCATGGTATTTATTAAACGGATCATTACGGAACTATGGTTTGGATGGACAGTTGGGACATCGCAGCTCGAAAGTCAAATGTCCGCTCCACTGTGCCTGCTGTGTTCTTTGACGCCCTCTTGTGTCGAGTCGCCGGTAACCCAGTTTCCATGTTCTGCCGACAGGCGGCGCCAGCTGCGGGTACAGCGGGAGCTAGAGGACGCCACCCGGGACGTGGTGGTGGTTCCCCCGGACACCAGTCGCGTGGCCGCCTGCATCGAGGCCGCCCTGCCCACAAAGTCCATCACCAGCTTCGTAAGTGATCGCCTCTATCCAACAGGCTCGTATGCCCTCCCCGCAGTTAACAGTATCTGTTCAGGTATTCAGCAGTCTCGCAAATATCGCATGGCAGTCTCGCATTGCTCGGCTCTGTGTAGGATTTTCACGGTGGTAAGCGATGTGACTCGAGATTTGTTACGTTCTATTGGGGGGGGGGGGAGACTCACACGTGGTTGATATTACGGATTTCGTCCGGTCTACGACCCGTCCGGCTTTCTGCTGAGATGGTCCAATCCCCCAGTGGACCACCGTTAGGTGTGATGACAGCCGCTTAGCCTCCGCGTCATTTGGCCATGTTAGGCGGCGACCGCTCATCTTCTCATCACGTCACCGAAATCTCCCGATAATATGCCATTTCGGCGCCCAATTCGGCCCGATGAGGGGGGTGTGAAGATGTCCCAGTCACTGCGGAGAGCCACTCTGGCTGTGTCGGCGGCCGGAGGACAATGTGATGGGAGGCGGCGGCAAACAGTGACTGGCAGAGACGGGGAGCGGCAGGGGTGGGCAGCAGGCTCGACAGGAGAGACAGGGATGGACAGCAGAGGCGCCGCGTAGAGCTGAGACGGACTTCGGGGCGGGGACGTTGGTGACTTGATTCGTCCCGCAAGCAACTTTATTACGAGTAGTGTGCCTGGTGCCAGTTTAGAATCGTGGTGCGTTTTGATAACATCCTTGGATGTCAATTAGTAATACCGGTGTGGAAATGAGCTACAGATACTGTCTGTCACAGACTAGATATGCTGCTGTTGTTCACTTACAGAGACACTAAGTGCGCTTTGCACAGTGCATATTTCACAATTGCATTAGCGTACCGCTCCAACTCGCCGTAGCAGCAGTACAATATCGCTTGTATTTGTGAGTGCTCGTCCCCGTCATCCCCCACTGACCCCCCCCCCCGTGTCCCCGTGCCGGTCAGGACGCGCACGAGAGCGAGGTGAACGCCCTGGCCTGGAGTCCGTCGGGCGGCCAGCTGGCCTCGGGAGGCAGCGACAGGAAGGTCAAACTGTGGACCGTCAGAGGAGGTGGGTGCCCGCCCGCTGATCGACACCCGCCCGCCCGTGTGGAGTGTGTACGTGTGTGTGCGTGTGTCAGGTGAAGTGTCAGGTGGATGGGGGAGGGGGGGGGGGGAACGCACGCTGCCTGTCTCGTGCGTGTGTGTTCACAGGTCATGTGCTCATTGACATGTTTGCTTGTTGGGCTATGTATTGTCTCTCGCCTGTCTACTTGTAGAACACTCACTATTCGTGGCATGTTTGTTTCCTCGCGTGATGCATCCTGTTTCTCGTTGTAGTTTGCGCTCATTGACACATAATTCACAGATGAACATCGGTTGTTTGATTGCATGATGTGTTTGCATACCATGCTAACCACTCGCCTTTTCAATGATGGTGGTCGGTTCCCATCACGTTGTCTCTAAGTCCGGCGTGCACGCCCCGCTGTTCAGACTCAGAGCTGCTCCCCGCCGCTCTCCCCAGCTGACCGGTCCGTGTTCGACAGCGCTGCCCTCCGCCGCTAACAGATGTCCCCGGAACACCCCCGAACAGTCGCGGCGTGTCGCCGATATAAAACACACACGGCCGGCCGTGCGCATTGTCTCGGAGCTGTGGCCGCGGCGGTGGGCTCGCTCCGTCATGCTCGTTAACAGTCCCCGTTCTGTCTGTGTGCGGACGGCGTGCCGGCAGACCCGTGAATGCCGCCGTTTAGAGTGGGTTTTGTTCATCAGACAGATGTCATTGAGCGTCCCGCACGGTCAAAATGACAAACGGTGCAGCATTGAACCAATGCGGGGTAATACCGGTCATTGGACTGTGGAGGGGTGGGTGATTTATTGCACGGAGAATGTACTTTGTTTATTGCTGGTCAGTATTTGGATTCCATATTTTGGTTACGTGGTAATATATCCCCTTACCCTGTCATATTTCCCACAGAGAATGCATCACATGACACCCTGCATTTTACATCCATTACGGCGCTATGCTCCGTCCACGGTGTGATGAACCCGTGGGACTCGGAGGCCGGTCGGTCACCGTCAGACGCCTGCTACTGAACTCTGCGGAACACCCACTGCTGGCTCCGTCAGCCGCTGCTGTAGTCTGCCCAGTCACGGCTAGATAGGAGAGTTCACTGATCATCTCTGTCCGGATAGCAACCCCCGTCCCCATCCCCGTCCTATCCTTTCGAGAGTGCCCGTTTCATTTGGGCAGGTCAGTCTGACGGTCCCCGTTTCCTGTCGACAGTTCACTCCGACAGTTAACAGTCCCTGTTTCTTTTCGACAGGTCACTCCGACAGTCCGCGCTCCCCTCGACAGCTCACTCCGACAGCCCCCGTTTCCTCCCGGCAGGCCAGTACCAGCTGATGGGCCAGTACACGGGCTGTAACAAGGGTATCAACTCCGTGGCGTTTGATGACGAGGAGACGCTGCTGCTGGCGGCCGGTAACGACCTGGCGAGCCGCGTCTGGGGCGTCGCCGACTTCCGACTCAGGGTGAGTTGACCGGGGCCGGGGCTAGACGCGGATACGGATTCTGAGCAGTAATCGCCACGCACTTTGAGAATGTGGATCGCTCATGATTGTTCAATACAATACAATACAATACAATACAATACAATACAATACAATAGGAGCTGGGCGCTGGGTGGTGTCTAAATGTGCGGGCTGTGTGTGTATGTGTGAGCGGGAACGGAAGTACCCTCGGTAGCGAAATGGGATGAGTGACTAAGGGATTGACAATCTATAGGGTCGAGGTCATCTTCAGTTCGATGTTTCTTTTGTGTTGTTTGATGTCCTGTCAAGTCCGTGTCACCCGTTCGGCGGTCAGCACCGCGATGCCGGAGATTTCTGCCTTCTCGGCCCGGCCCTACCTCTCATCTTACAGCAAACACAACAAGAATGTGCGAGAGTACACACGTACGCTGCGGCATTAACACATCCCACGCACACACACAGCCCTGATCCCTGGGCATACCAAAGTGACTGGCGGAGACGGAAGGCTGCATGACTTTACCGTGAACGCGTTGGGGTACTGTGATATTGACTTGTGTGTTCGAATAAATTGAGACATAACATCTCAATTCTTTGCATCATCTTATTACGAATAAATGCACCAAGCATTAGACGATGGAGGGAAAGCCATGATCTCCGCTTAAAGTGTGATTATCACCCGACTACATATAACGTTTTCCTGTAATTTGAGGAACTCTCGACATATGCACAGTTACAGTAAGTAGCGTTCATATTTTATTCATTTGATATTAATTTAGTTAATCAGTTGCTCTGCATCATTAATAAAGTGCCCTGGCGGCATCCGCCATCTGCCTTTCTCTGATTTTCGTTTGTCTGCTCTATAGTGAGATTGTTTTGGTCGTGCGGTTTCTATTGTACATTTCTGGCGCGCCACTTCTGACGGGGTTTACCGCGTTGCCCCCGAGTTTTCAGCGGTGCCGCGGTCCACTTATCCCTCCCCTATCGGACGGGCGCCGATCTGCGGTTTTCGTTCCCCGCCTCGTCTGTGGAACTTTGACTGGTGTTCTGTGAGAGGCTGATTACGTGACTGGGTCGTACTGGCGGTGAGCGGGCTGATACTGGTCCATTCGCCGTGTCACGCCATGTAATCCGCATACAACACGAGCTATTCATGTCGTCCTTGCCAGTATCGTGAGGCATATGGTCTTTTTGGTGGTGGCATATTATAAAGGGGCTGCTTTTGTTTTGACGTTCGATACAACACTCAATAAAACAACACAAGCGTCATACTAAAACCTTTTATTTACAAATTCAGAGTATCGTCATAGAACATTGGACGGACTCGGCGCACATCTCCACCGTTCGCCATCTCTCAGCACTACGGGCAGGCTGGACGGTGCGCCGCTCCGCTGTCCACACAACCCTCCCATCCACACACCCACACAGACACACACACAGACGGACGGACAGACGGGCTCGGCTCCGTCCGTCCCGGCGGCGGGGCGAAGCGGTGCACCGCAGCGGCGCCAAGGCGACATCCCCAGCGGCGCAGCGCCCTGGAGAAGCGACTGGGCGACGGGCTGCGGTACCCACCGCTTCCTAGCGCCGGTGCACGCACACAAAGATCACAGATATTGTACAGAATGCTCTCGTTCTCGCTCTCGCTCGCTCTCGATATGAGTGACACCGTGCAGTCGCGCCGCCGAAGTGTCGGCAGTCGCGAGGGATAAGCGCGGGGACTACTGCGGCCAGCGTGAGGCCGCGGCTACGAATGAGTGGTTGGCGGCGCGGGGCTGCCGAGGCGCGCCCGCGGGCCGCCAGGTCGAGACGCCAGCGGATAGGGCGCCGCCGCGACATCAATCAATGCCCTATGTCTTTGGCTGAGGCTGGGGCATGGCGGCGGGATAGAGGCACCGCCGAAGTTATGCGACATGTGCTTAGTTCGCCAGCGAATAAGAATGAGCACTAATATGTCCCACCCGGGGAAATAACAAGCAAGATAAAGTTAGCTGGAGGACGTCTGCGTGCCATTGGTCTGTAGCACGTGCAGATTAGTGCGTTTTAATGCCTCTGACATCATGATGAAGGCGACCAGCCTGAGGCTGACCCTCTCACAGTGCTGTGATGGACGGTTAGATGGGTGGCTGTCCTGCCTGGCAGGCAGCCCAAGAGACTGGCTGAGATTCCACCGTGGCAGACGTTGGCCAGAGGACAGGAAGGAGCTGTCCGCTCCTTCCGAGGGCAGGGGGGAGTTGTCTCGTTCCCCTGGCGTTCATATTCCTCATATTCTGATGTACCGGGCTGGCAAGATGCAGAGCTCAAGCGCGCCGGGCCGAGTAGCCCGAGTCGTAGAGCTGCGCCAGGCTGCCGGCGCCGCTGTCGACGCCCTGCGCGTCCTTGGCGCGCCGGCGCCGGAAGACCAGCACGGCGGCGGCCAGCAGTGCCAGCTGCACCAGCACCAGCACGGCGCCGCCGACCAGCAGGCCGCTGGTGTTCATACACACCGAGCTGGGCTCCAGCGTGGTGACGGTCGGCAGGCCGGCGGCGCGCGCCTCGCCCGACTCCTCGGCGCCGCCGGCGTCGCCCGCCGCCCGCCGGCTGAAGCGGTCGTCGATCCGGATGGTCTGCACCACCAGCATCTCCTCGTCGGAGGCGGCGCGGCGCGTGCGGTCCAGGCTGCGCCGGCGCCGGCCGTAGCTCTCGGTCTGGCGCACGGCGCCCACGTAGTCGAGCACGTCGCAGACGGCCGGCTCGCAGCGCGGGAGGCACGGCGTGACCAGCGCGCGGAACTGCACCACGTCCGAGGTGGGGAACTTGAAGGCGTCGAAGGCGGACGCCAGGTCCTTGGTGCCGTTGACGCGCAGCAGCGCCTGCAGGATGCTCTCGTCGGTCGGACAGCCGGCGGCGTCGATGAGCAAAATCTCGTTGCTGTTGGCGCCGTCCATGGCGACCAGGTCGCGGACGAAGATCTCGTAGGGCGACTGCGGGTCGACGATGGTGAAGAGCAGGCTGAGCGGGTCGCCGACGGCGGCGGCCTCCACCTCGCTGCCGTCCCGGTCCGTGATCCGCATCAGCACGTTCGGCGAGTCCACGACCGCCTCCTGCTCCAGCACCGGCTGGATGTCGCCCTTGACCTCCAGGTCCACGGCGTTGCTGATGCTCTTGTTGCTGAGGTCGTACTGGCAGCGCACGCTCAGGCCCAGGTCGGCGGAGGTGACGATCCGGTCGTGGTGCTGCAGCACCACCTCGTTGTGGTAGTGTCCCGGCCCGCCGCGCTTCACGTCACACTCGAGGTCGCTGTAGCCCATCTTCAGCTCGAAGTCGAGGCTGCTGGTGACGTCTGTGACGCAGGTGTTGGGGCTGCCCTTGGCGTACAGTTTGCCGTTGAAGAGCCGGCTGGTCTGGATGCGCGCCACCATGTGCCCGGCGCGGCAGTCGATGGTGACGTTGTAGCACGAGCTCAGCTCGTAGCTGGTCGAGCCGGGGATCTCCAGGTACGGCTCGAGGATGTTGGTGAGCGTGGCCACCGAGTGGTGGCTCAGCCGGCACACCTTGTCTCCCGTGTCGTTGTAGTCGTACGTGTGGCAGCGGAAGTTGGCCGACAGACACAGCTCCTTGCAGGCCTCCAGTGAGCTGACGTTCTGGTGAACTGAGTCGACCGTCTTCAGGATGCGGTCGTCGATCTCGGTGAACTCGCACAGTTTGACCGGTTCGCCGACGCAGTGGTTCTCCAGGAAGTCGGTGCCCTCAGACGGCTGGAAGGCGCCCAGGCCGGCCAGCGTGTGCCGGTCCATGTCCGAGAGGCGACACTCGCCGCTGGAGGCCACGTACGAGGCTGACCTGAGGGCAGAGACGGCGAGAGAGGGTCAAAGACGGAAACATGAGAACATTGGGAGGGAGAGGTAGGGTCAGGACTGAGACGGAGGGGGAGACTTGGAGGGTTCAGCGATCATCGGTCGGTGGGAGAGATGGAGAGAGAGGCTATATCAGCGCTCCGTCGGGCGCCACTGCCGCTGTACTGGCCCAGCACGGGTGGGATGGGGTGGGTCCTGTGGGATGGTTACGATGGTGTTGCGGTTAGGTTATGTAAGGCAGCGCCAGCATGTGTCTGGATCAGCCGGGGTCAGTGGCTCGAGGACAGTTTAACGGGGAGCCTCCATCGGGGCTTAATGAGCTCGTTATGGTTAGTTTTACGGGTTATAAAGTACCGCATTCCGAAACGGATGGGGATAATTAAAACCTAACCGTGAGTTGGTTTTAGTTTTTGTGACTTCACGTCTTCCAAAGGTCATTTTATTTTACAACTTCCGACCGAGTCCGTTACCAGTTGGTTTCTGCGGGGACCGTTATAATTGGCAAATTGCTCCGTTTTCACGCGGTCTGCTTGTGGGGCTGCTTATAATGCGAATATAATTTTGATGGGAAAGGCGCCTTCCCCCTGTGCCGCCAATCCCTTGCTGTCTGCCACTGCTAGTAATTAGTGCACCGCCGGGGAGCGGTGTGAACCGCCGCTAATCGCGCCTCCCGCCGCTCCAGTTACCGCCGACAAATACGGCCGTGTCGTGATGACTGCGCTAATGGCGGCGTCCGCTAATGCTCGGATCACACCGCACCGTCTGCCAGCCGTCTGTCGTCTGTCGCCCTCCCGGACCGCCCAGGACTGACGCACAGGGGCGGATCGTCTGTCTTGTGCAGCTCGACAGCCTGTTCACGCGTCGGTGGAGCTCGTCCCACTACCAGTTTCAGACTCCGCTGTATCTATGAGCTTTGAAGATAACGACGAAGGTGGAGAGTCGAGAGAACTTCGTACGGTATTCTGTGATGCCGTGAAACGTCACAGCGTCACGGTCGAGGTGGGCTGGGACTGTCCCGCGGATCTGGTCACGTCGAGAGAGACTGTCCCATAGCCCTGTCTGGTCGGGTGGGACTGTCCCGCGGCTCTGCTCCTCAGACTGCCCGTTCGTTACGGTAGCCGAAGCGCCGTGTCACGCCGTCACCTGGCTGGCTCCCGCTCAGACGAGGCGGCGCGATGGCCAGCGATAGTGTCTCCGAGTGAGATCTGATGAGCCGATGGCTGGTCTCAGACTCGAGCCGACGACACTATCTGCCCACCGAGTCGTGACCCGCTCCGTGACCTGCTCCGTGACCCGCCCCGTGACCCGCCCCGTGACCCGCCCTGTGACCCGGACCGGCGCCGGGCGCGGGCTGATTAGTGGCGTGGTCGGCGCATTCATAACGCACCGCGCCGTGAACGCCACACCGCGCCGGGAGCGCCGCTTTACGGCGATATGAATCAGAGGCCCGTTAGCGGGTGCCGATGCTCGTTTGGACGCTCCAACTGGAGAGTGAAGTGGTCTCCAGAGGTGCCGATAAGCAGCGGTGCGCGCGACGCCGGGCCAGCGCACGCGCCGACAAACACCAAACGGCCGCGGTACGCACGAGAGGTGCCGCACGCGCGGAACTGGCGGCGACGGGCCGGTGCGGCGGTGCGTGGCGGTCGTGACAGGATTTGACGAGCATTGGCGTCTTGAAGCTTGATTTGGGGTGACTATTTTTGGATGGTGGGCTGTTTGTCAGTTGACAGTTTTGCAAAGAGCGTTCACAACACTTGATGTTAAGGTATTTGTGGAAGGAGCATAGACAAAACTGACTGAAAGCAGCTGGCAATTTGAGTGGTTTATAATTTCTAGCTTTATCGTCACTCGATTTAGAAGTCTGAATCCGTTGGCCGTCAGTCTCACCTGCAGACAAACTCTGTCTCGGCGAGACACGCCTGCTCGCAGACCAGGCGACTCTCGGCCTCGATCGTCTTCTTGGCCATGCCGTTGAGAGTGTGGTTCTGCACGCGCTCGAAGGCCCAGGCGCTGTCGCAGCGCGGCGCCTCGGCGTAGCACATCTTCTGCACGTACATGGTGAACACGGGGTACTGCGACTCGGTCAGCGGGTCTGAAACAGACGGAAACGGCGTGGTCAGACGGAGAGATGGGAGTGAGATAAGGTGGTGAAGCACAAAGAATGGGGGCGTCGGACTGGGAAAACTGGCGTTAAAGGTCAGGGTATGTAGCGTTTTCACGGTAGTCAGGTGTGCGATTGCAAGAAACGGTCAAACTGTGTCTGGTTCCTAAAGGTGACTATGGCGTTTTGAATGTCAGTTTGGACTACTATTTTACCAGGTCACTGCGCCAGGAAATCCCTCCCATCCCTCCTTTCCCAGCACCTCCCCGTCGCCGCCTGTTCCGTCCGTCTGCGGCGCGGCGCCGGCGGGCGGTCTGCCCGTCCGACGCGTGAGAACCGGCCCCGGTCGGCCCACATCGGAAGCTGCGCGCCGATTAACACGTTCCAGTGGCGGCGGCGGTGCGGGACTGGTGTGACTGCCAGCTGCCGGGGCTGTGTGTGAAGGACCGCCGGTGGGAGGCGGTGTCGGTGGTCCGCGGACGATACCCGGCCCGCCGGAGGCTGGGGATGTGCGGTGGAAGGGATGATGGACGCGCGCACCACCAAGGACGTCCGCGGCGCGCGGAGGTCGGCGGAACTGTGCTCCGCCGGAGCGGACGGTCAGCTGATGAGCCGGGCTGAGGATGAATCAGAGACTAGAGAACGGAGGATCTCCAGTGGGCCACCTCGCTGAGAGCGGAGATCTCCAGTGGGTCACCTGCTCGGCTGGTTCTTGCTCGGCTGGTGTCGCGGAATGCTGCCACTAGTGCCACTGGATATTAAGTTTTACAACCAGGTGACCGAATGTTTGCAAAGGTTTGACGGCGTGGAACGGTGTACTAAAGAACGGCCGCTGCTGCGAGTGCGACCCAGGGTGTTCTGTGACCCGTGACTGGGGACCTGCACCCCGCACTCTCCACACTCAGTCTGCTGAGTGGCCGGGTGGTCCGTGACCACCTGGAGCCCAGTGAACCGATACCGGTGCAGAACCCGGGCGACAGCCGTCCACACTCGGCAGCTGGCGGTAATCCGGCGCAGAGGCGGCGAACCGGTCACTCACGGTAACCAAACAAACCATGACCGACTCCGGACGGGTCGGACCGGACGGACGGGACGGACGGGACGGGCGGGACGGGCCCACGGCAGTCTGGGCGCCTCCGACCCACATACACAGTCACGAGCGGCTCGGCGGCCGATTATTGGGCCGGTCGCGGCCCAGTGGCGCTCCGTGACAGCGGCACGGTCGGTTATTGGTGAGCACGACCGACGGACGGCGCGCGAGCCGCCCGCTGCCCCGCCGGTCACGCCTGGCGCCCGGTTACACACGCTGCCGTTTGCTGAACGGAACGGGGACCGACTGCGATTGGCAGCGGGTGACGGAATGGGTGACGGATGGATAACGGTGACGGCTGAATTCGGGTCGGCCATAGAGCCGAGTTTGGGAGAATATTCGCGTGTTTCCATCACAACAAACGAACTCATCAAGCGCTACCTCCCGCTGTTACAAAGACGCTTAGGGGCCGGTTTCAGAGATTGATCCTCCCATTAAATGTTATGAGCTGATGAAGCCTGATGAGACCATCAGCTTACATATGCTGCCTGTCACTCAGCAAGCGAACCTGTGTCGCCGCACCTGGCGAGCCCGGCGTGCCGCAGGAGAGTCCATCCCACCTGTCTGTCTTCCGCCGCCGCCGGGCCGGTCAGAATTGCCTCTCAATCTGAGGTGACTGAGATCGAAGGACGCGGCCGCAGTGGCCGGTCGGCGGCTGTCCCTCCTCAGCCGGCACGGTTCGTCGGAAGGTCATCTCAGGCTCAAAAGAAACGATTTATACCATTCGAAAGCTGACGATGCGCTGAATCCGAAAATGTAATTTTTATCAAAATCGATCGATGGCCTTTTTTGAAAATTGCGTTTTTGTAAAAACTTAATAATTTTTTATTCAACGGGCTGTCCCAGACATTCTTGAAAATATAAACATGTATTTTTGAGTTCCAGTGAAAGCTGAATGCCAAAAGAACAATATCTAGCGGAGCAATATTTCCAAACATTAATATGCGTCTCCCACAGCCGACAATAAGGCGCAATTATACAGCTCAGTGTCACGATGGACCAAAGTCAGCCACACAGAAGCGTGATATGACCCTTATCGACTCGCAGACCCGGCGCTCTCGGCCCGCCTGACCGGCCACGGAAAGAACGTTCGGCTCTCGTTCTACTAAACAAATGTCATATTTGTCAGTTTAACTGTCCACATCGCTATTAAATGTAATCAGGATACCTGTGAAGAAAATTCATTGCTCTGTCATCTTCACATCATGCATTAATTTACATTTGTTCATGTCTACTTTGCTCAATTGTGCTTGGTATCATGCCCATATAAGGAAAATTGGCCGCGCTGAAATGTCAGAGGTTGTACCGGCCTCAGCTCCGGTGAGTGGGGGTAGCGCCCGGTGGGGCAGGGTAACCTTTGACCGGTCGCACGGCCGAGCAGCTGTCACCAGTACAGCCTCTGACAGTGAAACCCCGCTCACTTCCCTTGCGCGGGGACTGAGCGCAGCTGGATGGAACAAAACATGTATAAGAAAAATGTAAATTAAAGTATGTTGTAAATCAAGTAGAACATTGAATTTTCTTCACAAGTATCCTGAATAACTTTAATAGCGATGTGGACAGTTAAACTGACAAATATGACGTTTGTTTAGTAGAACGAGAGCCGAACGTTCTTTCCGTGGCCGGTCAGGCGGGCCGAGAGCCCCGGGTCTGCGAGTCGATAAGGGTCATTTCACGCTTCTGTGTGGCTGACTTTGGTCCATCGTGACATTGAGCTGTGTAATTGCGCCTTATTGTCGGCTGTGGGAGACGCATATTAATGTTTGGAAATATTGCTTCGCTAAATATTGTTCTTTTGACATTCAGCTTTCACTGGAACTCAAAAATACATGTTTATATTTTCAAGAATGTCTGGGACAGCCCGTTGAATAAAAAATTATTAAGTTTTTACAAAAACGCAATTTTCAAAAAAGGCCATCGATCGATTTTGATAAAAATTACATTTTCGGATTCAGCGCATCGTCTGCTTTCGAATGGTACCGGGAGTTCCTAAATAAACAGTCGTATTTAAAAGCTGTATATTATCAGCATGGAAGGCATGACAAAAACGAATCACTTTCTAACATACACAATAGTCGATGCCATTTCACGTGATACCATCTTCTTTTTGCTGTCTTTTCATTTGCGGCCACAGAGGACGTGTTCCAGATGAGCCCCCTCTCGCTCCACACACAGCTCTGCGCGTCGCCGAGCGGACTCCACCGCAGCCCGGCAGATCTCCGGCCGCACTCGGCGCACCGCGGACGACACGGCCCTCTTGAGGTCATCTGTGGTTCTGGGGTTGCTTTTGTAGACCTGTGACTTCAGGTGACCCCAGAGAAAGAAGTCAAGTGGGGTCAGATCCGGAGAGTGCGGGGGCCAGGTCCGCACCTCTCTGCGGGAGATAACCCGCGAACCGAATCGGTTCCGCAGCCATTCTCGAGTCGCAACGGCCGTGTGCGCCGAGGCTCCGTCTTGTTGGAACCATTGTTGGTCCATCAGCTGCCTGTCTCCACCCAGCCGCCTGTTCAGCGCAGTCCAGAACTTGGCTAGGACTTGCCGGTAGCGCTGAGCGTTGACGGTGACAGACTCCCCAGCGTCGCTCTCAAACCAGAAAGGTCCGATTATGCCACTGCTGCTCATTGCACACCAGGCTGTGCACTTCACACTGTGCAGAGGGGCTTCCGCGACCAAATCGGGTGGCTCCGTCGACCAGAATCGAAAATTCTGGGAGTTCACGCGGCCATCCATATGAAAATGGGCCTCGTCGCTGAACCAGATTCGGTGAAGGAACTCATTGTCCTGCTCGCAATTTCTCAAAAACCAGCCGCTGTAAAGAAGCCGTGACTGTTTGTCGACTTTCGAAAGTGCTTGATGAACGGAGACCTTATACGGGAACAGCTGAACGTCGTTTCTGGCCAAACGGTGAGCGGTGGTTTTGCTACAGCCCAGTTCCTGGCCAAGCCGTCTGAGCGACTTTTGTGGGCTCCTCTGGAGGGCTTCTCGTGCCTTTTGGGCGTTTAGAGGCGTCCTCTTGGTTCTTTTTCGGCCACATTTACCCTTTTTTACGTTCTCCACACTACCTCTTGCCAAAAACTTCTCAACTATACTTAAAATGACGGTTCTTGATGGCACTTGGGTCCTTTTTAAGTGTCGGCGTAGCTTACGTTGTGTTGCAACGATTGACTTTGTCTCAAAATAGAAATGTACTATTTTTGTTTTTATGTCTGTACTATACGGCTGCATGATAGAAAGTGATTGATTTGGGTATGAAATAAAATGGCATTGAACGTGCTATCATCACGTGCAGTTTGATTGTTGTGATTTTGTTAGTTGACGCCACTAGAGGCAAAAATAATTCGACTGTTTAATTAGGAACTCCCGGTATATACCGTTTCTTTTGAGCCTGAGATGACCTTCCGACGAACCGTGCCGGCGGCGGAGTAGTGTCCACCGGTCCCGCCCCGCCCCGTCCCGCCCCGCTCCGTTCCGTCTCGTCGGCCGTTCGTGGCGCGGCCATTAGCGGCGTCTCTGTGTCCCCGTGCAGTCCGCTCTCCAGTCGGACACTGGCCGCCGCTATCCGGACCAGGTGGCTGACAGCGAGGAATCCCGCCGGCACCGACACCCCGGGCCGTTTATCAGACGCTCTCAGAACAGACCGATCGTGAAGTGATGCGGCCGTTTGGTTTGCTGGCTCGGCGTGGCGCGGCGCCGCTGCCCGGGCCGTTTTTCGCCCAATGTGCCTGTGATGCGGGACGGTGGCGTCCATTGTCGGCCGGGACGCCGCGTTATCTGTAAACGCTCTCGGCAGTGTTCTGGGCGGCGTCACGGCGCCGGCCGCGTTTGACTGGGGCGGCCTCCCGCGGCGTCACGGCGGCGTTACGGCGGCGTCACGGCCGGCCGCCGGCTGATGGACGGCCAC